GGGTTGTTGATGTTATTAATAATTAATATCTATGGATCCCAATGCCCTAAGCATTTTAAGTCTGCTTAAATCCCCCCAGGAACTCTATGAGGTACATATATTATTATGGCCATTTTATAAGTGGGGAAACTGAGGCACAGAGAATTAAGAAACTTGGCCAAGGTTAAAAAGCTATTTAGCTTCAAAGCCTGGGCTCTTAACTACCTTACCAAACTATGGAGATCCCCTCCTTATTTTCAGTATTTCAAACATATAACAATTAATTAAGTCAGTCAGTCTCATGGAATCATTATTATTATCCCATGCCAATCAGATGTTCTATAAGCAGATGTGTTCTTAATTAATTTTGATGGAGAAATACATTATGGCTTTAATAATCATGTATTCAGTGTCTGCTCTACGTAGTATCAACACCGTACTGATTAACACATGGTACTTCATTAATGAAACTTTTTCAAAATCTTGGCTCTACAAATGGGTAGGGGAACAGAGAAGATAATACATTGATACCATGAGAGAAGGTGGGAGCCTCCTCTCTGCCCATGACACTGAGATGAGGGGAACTGAGGCCCAGAGAGGGGAAGGCACTGGCCAAGACACGAAGTTAGTCAGGGGCAGTGAGACACACAGTCCTTGCCTCCCAGCCCCAGGCGCTTTCCTCCACCCAAGGCTGCAGGTGGCAGCCTGGGCTTGTGACCAGCTAGGCCAGAGGCAGGAGGTCAGGCCAGCAGGCCAGCAGGCATCTGAGGCCAGTGGGGAGCAGGCAGCCCAGCCCCGCCCAGCCAAGGCCGTTGCCAAGGGCTCAGAGTGGCTAGTTGTGCTCTGACTAGGAAACAGGCCACAGAGCGAGAAGGATCAGCGGGGGAGGGGGGGTGGTAGATGCACCCCTTCAGGCTCTGCATGACCCCGGAAGATGGTGACAGCCAGTGTCTGAGCTCCTTGCTGATGCCAGGAGGAAAAGAAAAGAACAGCCACCTGGAGTTCCCGTCCTATCTCTTAGTTTCTCGCCACCCTCAAATATTTATACTAATAATAAGTTCTCATACCCAGATATATAATTAATTTTTATGTCCAGTCACCTGGCTTCCTCAAGGCAATTTCTATTTCTCCAGCCAGGTTCCAGAGCCATCTCTTAGCTAAGCTGCTCCCAAGTTGGAGTTGCTGGCCCTAGTTGAATGAACTGACTCTGGTTACCCATGAGCCAGAGATCAGGGCAAAAAAATATTGGTTTTGGAATCAAGTATCCTGGGTTATAGTCCTGGCTCTATCATTTACCAGCTGTGTGAGCTTGGGCAAGTAGCTTTCTCTCTCTGGTCTTTGATTTCCTCATCTGTATAATATAAGGACTGAACTAAATATCACTCAGAGCCTGTCTGGCTCTGAGAACCTTTAAATCTATGGTGGGTTCAAGGAAGGGAGACAGAGTGAGGGAATGGGAGACAGCCGGGTGAGGACTCAGAGAGGCAGCAGCAAGTGTCTCGTGGTCAATCCTGACTGCCCAGCCCAGGAGGTACTGTGAGAGAGGATGCCCCAGACGGACAGCAGAGCCCCTCAGCCAGGGCTGGGCAAGGAGGAGATGGGTAACACCTCTCACCCCCTCCCTCGCAAGGCCAAGCCTGACGTGGGCAGGGACCAGGCCGGAGGCCGACCTTCTGGCAACAGATGGGGCTTGCCAAACTCCCAGCTACTTCCCAGAAGTCCGGTGCCTCCTGGGAGTGGCTCCACCCCGGCTGGCCGTCCTCCAAGCTGGGCACCCACGTCAGCAGGTCCTCCCAGATCCCCTGCCCTTTCACCCAGTGACATGGAACAGGCAAAGGGGCGGGGCATGCTCACCTGGGACCCCATACTTAGAGAGGCCTCCGTCTCCCTGGCCATCTCTCTCCCCTCCCCCTTCTGTTGCGTCCTGTTCAAGTCAGCACCTGAGGCTGAGGCTCCAAGGGTGACGCCCTTCCGGTCACCCTTCCTACGGTGCCACACTGACTCCAGTGCCTGGGGGTGCACACTGAGTCAGGACAGCTGGGTGGGCTTGGCCAGCTCACAAGGCCTCTCCAGGCCTCCTGACCCCAACTGTGAAGTGGAGCCGGTCTCCACAGTGGCCTCCTAGGAGCCTCTGAGGACTAAGTTAACAATGCCCCCGAGGAGTCAGATCTTCTGATTGATAAGCCCTGGCCTGCAGTGGGAAGTGATACCCTTGGGGACATCTGACCCCAAGGGGCAGGCCCACCCAGGCCAGGGCCCCCCTGGACAGGGCAGTGGCTGTGTCCTGGTAAGAGCCTTGGTCAGGCCTGCATGAGTCACTTGCTTTGAGAGTTACTAAGTTCAACAGGAGGAGGGCATGGGGGGGGGGGGATTGTCGCTGTGAACGCTGGGCCCCATGGGAATGGGTGCTGGGCAGTAGCAGTGAAGACAGGCACTGTGAGCAAAGGTGGCAGTGAGGGGGCCGGGCAGGTGACCACTGGGTTTCCTAAAAGGCGTTGGGCCCAGAGAAGACACAGTCTATGAACAATCGCCCAGCGAGGAGGCGGGGATGGTGTTGGTGGTAGACGGGGGTCCCCTACCCTGAGCCCACAGAGAGCCCTGCTCCCTGGACTAGCTCTCAGGCACTCTCCCCCAGGGTCCCATCACGCTGGTTCCAGTGCACACTCTACAATCCCAAAGCACTTTCATACCTAGTTCCGAAGAACTTTCACGCCTAGTATCTTCTTTACTCCCAAGTGCAGCTCGAGCAGGCAGCCAGGGCGGGAATTAATAGCTTTAGTTCAACCCCTGCCCAGTATTACAAGGCAAAGAAGCCCAGAGAGGGAAAGAGATTTGCCCAAGGCCACACAGCTAGGGCCAGGCCCACATTCCCCACTCCCTGTGGAGTCTTGTCACCAGTGCTGCACCCGCCCTCTAGCCTGTGCAGTGCTGGCCTTGGGGACTTGAAGGACAGGATAAGCAGCAGCTCTGGCTCAGGACCTGCACAGCTGTCGAGGTGAGTTGTGGTCTGGCTGCTGCGGCCGAGCTGGCGGGCACAATCTGTTCTCACCCTGCTGGGCCAGGGATGGGCCAGGACCGCTGCTCAGCAGCTCCGTTGTCCAGGCCTCTGACAAAGGGGACACAGCCACTGGCTCGATGCCACAGTGGGGGTGGGGGAGCCCATTCTAAGGGCAGCCCCACACCTCACACACCTTGAGCAGCTGTTCCCAGACCTCATTGAGCTTTAAGATTCAAATGGCCCTAGGCTGGCAGAGATGCCAGCTTAACGGGAACATAGCTGCCCCCAGACCTGGTGCTGTCTTGGAAATGTGAGAGTCACCTGGCACTTCATCCGTTCTTCATCAGTGAGCCATTATTGAGCACTTGATATGGACCAGGCACTAGGCTAAGTGCGCCACATACATTATTGCACTTATTCCTCCCCAAAGCAGGTGACTCATTAGCCCCATTTTACAGATATGGAAACTAAGGCTAGAGAGGTTTCTCTCTCTCTCTCTCTCTCTCTCTCTCTCTCTCTCTCTCACACACACACACACACACACACACACACACACTCCACCGTCAGGGCAGATCAGATACAAAAGCATGCATTCCCCTGCCCTGCAATTTAGACATCAAGTGTATTTTGGGTCCCCATGGGGGCAGTGTGGCTGACAATGTGGAGGTGGGAGTTAGAGAGGAACATGACAGGCCTTCCAGTGACACCCCCCACAAGGTAGTGTTTAGATGTATGTCATCCAGGGCCCTAGAGTTCAAAGCTGAACATTACCAATTCCATTCAAATAAGCAGAAATCACTTTCAGCTATGAGGAATCCAGGAGGACTGCATGGAACAAGAAGAATTTGGTTAAGATTTCTTAAGGCTTCGAAAAAAGGCAAAATTGGAAATGCTGCCAGCATTATTTTATTAGCATAATTCTATTAATAAAAGAAATCAATACCTCCATAGCTTGGTGAAAAACAGAGGTTCAGACCAGTGGACCTCATTTTACAAAAAAAAAAAAAAAAAAAACATAATCAGAAAGGGAGAGTAATTTGCCCAAGGTCACAGCCACTAGTGACAGGGCCTGAACTTGTGCCCAGAGTGTCTAAGTTCCCATCCAGGGTCATTTTCTGTCCAGGTAACCAGGCAATGGTTGGCTCAAAGGGAGGCTTTGCCTCTGCTTGGCTCCCGGCTCTGTGAGAACTGGGGGTGGGGGTGGGGTTTACAGAGACTGCCTTGTTAGTGACAGTAACACACCTGGAAGGACACTCAGCTCCTGCTTGGCCAAGGGTAATGTCACATCCCCATGAGGGCATATCCTACTTTGGGGCCAAGACCAGGGAAGACTCCAGGCCCCAATACCAGATTGGGAGTTCAAAGACCTGGAGCACTTACTCCTCTGTCTGGGAAGGCCAAGGCAGTTGGTCTCCTTTCTCTTTCTCGGCCACTGCGGGGCCAGAAGCCCCAGAGGCCTACCACCCCCATAGCTTTGGCTGGCAGCAGGGAAATCATCGAAGGCTGGTCCCTGCCTCATTTTCCCTCGCTCCACAGTGAATCCCAGGTTGTCAGAACCCATTCAGTCCAAACACCTCCCCTCATAGTCAAGGTCCAAAGAGCTCAGGGAGCATAACGGGGGTGGGGGCACTAAACTAGAACCCAGTCTTCAAGTGACTCTGGTACTCACACTCCCTCAGCTGCCTCTGGACACAGTTTCTAGGAGTTCTGAGAGCCAGCTCCTTCTCCAGCTACATAAAACCACCTGGGTTTTGAAGCCAAGCAGATTCGAGGTCAGACCCAGGATGCTCTGCTTCCAAACAGTGTGATCTTGGAAGAAATTAAGGGGCCCTTCCAGTTTCTTCCTTCTTACCTGCCTTCTGAAATTGTCACAAGATGACTTGCATAGGGACGCAGATATGCCCACGGGGGTTGAAAGGCCCAGGATCTGCAGGATGGGGAGGGAAGTGGAGGAGGAGGAGGAGGCTCTCCGGAAAGGCAGCCCCACAGCCTGTGATTTCTCTCCTCTTCCCGCTCTCCCCAGGCTATGGCCACGCAGCGCCCAGCACGGATGGTGGCAAGGTGTTCTGCATGTTCTACGCGCTGCTGGGCATCCCGCTCACACTCGTCATGTTCCAGAGCCTGGGCGAGCGCATCAACACCTTCGTGAGGTACCTGCTGCACCGTGCCAAGAAGGGGCTGGGCATGCGGCGCGCCGATGTGTCCATGGCCAACATGGTGCTCATCGGCTTCTTCTCGTGCATCAGCACGCTGTGCATCGGCGCCGCCGCCTTCTCCTACTACGAGCACTGGACCTTCTTCCAGGCCTACTACTACTGCTTCATCACGCTCACCACCATCGGCTTCGGCGACTACGTGGCTCTGCAGAAGGACCAGGCGCTGCAAACGCAGCCGCAGTACGTGGCCTTCAGCTTCGTCTACATCCTCACGGGCCTCACGGTCATCGGCGCCTTCCTCAATCTCGTGGTGCTGCGCTTCATGACCATGAACGCCGAGGACGAGAAGCGCGACGCCGAGCACCGCGCGCTGCTCACACACAATGGGCAGACGGGCAGCGGACTGGGCGGCCTCAGCTGCCTGGGCGGTGGCACCGGCGGCGGCGGCGGCGACAGCGCGCACACCACGGACACCGCCTCGTCCACGGCGGCCCCCGGGGGCAGCGGCTTCCGCAACGTGTACGCCGAGGTGCTGCACTTCCAGTCCATGTGCTCGTGCCTCTGGTACAAGAGCCGCGAGAAGCTGCAGTACTCCATCCCCATGATCATCCCGCGGGACCTGTCCACGTCCGACACGTGCGTGGAGCACAGCCACTCCTCGCCCGGAGTGGGCGGCCGCTACAGCGACACCCACTCGCACCGCTGCCTCTGCAGCGGGACGCAGCGCTCTGCCATCAGCTCGGTGTCCACAGGCCTTCACAGCCTGTCCACCTTCCGCAGCCTCATGAAGCGCAGGAGCTCCGTATGAACCCCCCCGCGGGGCCTGGACCACCTGCCAGCGGGGGCCGGGCCGGGGCTCCTGACCAGAAGAGCAACGGGGGAGGGGGGTCGGCCAGGAGCACCCCCACCAGCCGCCTTCGGTCCTTGGGATGCCCCCAGTCCCCCACCACCACTGTCCCCCACCTCCCCAACTCCAACTGTGCCTGCTCGCACCAGCCGGCAGGAGACCGGGCTCTGAGGACTCCTGGAGCCCCCATCCGAGCCCAGCATATTCCAAGAAATGTGAAACTTGGGGGGTCTTAGAGGGAAGGCAGAAGCTAGGAGGGAGCCTCCCAACCCTTTTGGAAATCTAAGAAGCTCCCCAGTCCTCAGAGGCCCTGCTGGTACCCAGACCCCCACCTCCCCAGGGGACTTAGTGTTCCACGTTGGTTTGCATCTCTCTATTTATACCTCTGTCCTGCCGGGTCTCCCACCATCCCTTGGCTTCAAAAGCCAGGGTGTCTTTGTCCAGGTCACCCCCACTCAGTCCCACCCCTCACCCCCTCATCCCCAGCTGTGTCTCCCCGCCTCTCACTACCTTCTGTGTCGTTTTGCATGGCTTCACCTTATGGAGAAAGTGGAAACCTCAGCAGCCCCTAAAGCTAGCCCCCAGAGGGCAGGACAGAAAGAAAGAACAGGCAGGTGGCAGGAGGGGGAGAGGGGAGCAGGGGAGGAAAGGCTCTAGGGCTTGGGCTGCAGGGCAGTGGCACGGGTGGGTAGACCTAGTGGCCTCTAGTGCACTCTCTGGGGGAAGGGGAGGACTCCAGCCTTCCACACACTGCCCTTGAAATCCAGAACAGAACACCAACTGGCCACCCCTGGCTGCTACTGCTACTCATTACCAACTCTTAAATTTGTGGAGTGGGTTTTTAGCTTCCCCAAACCCCATCTGTCTATTCATTCGTTTGAGTCTCACAAAACTCCAAATAGTTCACCAGGGCTGGAATTCTTGTCTCTATTTCATAGACGAGGACACAGGTGAAGTGTCCTGCCCAAGGTGACACAGAGAGCAAAAGGCAAAGGGGAACGAGAACCCCCTTGCCTGTCATAGCCTGAGTGATGTTCCTTCCAGCTTAGAAGCAAGGTTCCTGCCCCACACATGCAGCATCCTGTGGGCGGCCGAGGCTTAAACCAGAACCACAAGCCCCGGGCAGGGACCTTGCTGATGCTCAGCTTCTGCTACTCCTGTCCCAAGACAGGGACTCTGAAGGGGCCCTTGTCTCTGGGCTACCTGCTTACAAGCAGGAAAGTCCTTGGGACCAAGGTAAGCAGTACTAGGTCAGGAACTGCAGCTCTGGGCGGTTGGAAATTGGGCAGAGAGGCAAAGACAGCCTGTCTTTGCTGTCCTACTGGGACATCGTCCCTAGCCCCGCAGCAGCCATTGTGGGTACCTGTGTCCCAAGTAGCTACTGATAAGCTATGGCCAAAATCATGAATACTCCTCCGAGCAGGAGGCTTAGACCTCTGTGCCCTCTGCCTGCCCCACCTGCAACTCAGAGGCTCAGGTGGAGTGTGGTGGGTGGGGGCATGCCCTCTACTCTCCCCACAGCTAGAGCTGGTAGAGTAGCTGGGACCGCATCAAGGTGGAGGTGAGGGACCTCTCCTCCCACAGCTCGGCCTTCCCGTGCTGCTCCAGGGTCAGCTCCTCAACTCTGCTGAGCAAGGTCAGCCCTGGCATTCAGTGAAGCTGGAGAGAGGGGCCTGAAGGATGGTCAGCCTCAAGCTCCAACTCAGCAATGTCCTCTAGGCCCTGGGAACCCCAAGAGGGAAGAAGTCCGGCCTGTCTGTGATCCCATCTCAGTGTAGAAGACCTGGCCCTGGTGCCAAGTGGGGTGGGGCCCAGGGCCTAGAAGAGTGCCCTCTGTTTTTATGTTGGGGGTGGGGGACAGTGCTAGCTGCCTCTGTCCTATGTGTGACCCTGCCCTCGAGGGGTCAAGTCCCGTCAGACCCGAGGGAACCACAACCAAAGTTGCAGAGAGATGGTGGAGAAAGAGGCAGCAGGCCCTGGGGCAGAGCACGGCAGCCTGCTGGTCTCCAAATGGGTCTTTCCTTTCCAGGGAACTGGAAGGCCAATGTCACTTCCCCGTCTCACCCCACACACACCGCAGGCAGTCTTTCTGCTTCCCCAATGCCTTATGCCTGGGCACACTGCCACAGAATATGCAATATGTGTGGGTGACATGTCCCCACACCCACACCCCACCCGGGCAGCCCCTGAATTCCCCAGGCTGTGGCTGCCAGGCCTCCCCTTGGCTCCCCTGCCTATCTGTCTTCACACTGAGAATGGCGCCTAATAAATGCTGTCCATGGAGACCAGGGTCAGGCTCCAGCTCTTCTGTTATCACAAACCCTTACGGCAGTCAGAGGCCAGCCACCCCGTGGTCCCCAGTCCGGGTCTACAAACACACCTAACTGATCGCCTCAGGCTAATCAGACTGGTCTGCGGGCCTTGGGGAGAAGCCTAATGGGGAGCATTCCTTTCCCTTTTGGGACTTCTCAGAAGATCCAGATTTTCTTACTATCATCCTGGAACACACTATGAGAACAAGAGCTTAGACATCTCCCCATCCTTGTACATCAGTAAACTGAGGCTCATAGAAGGGCAGGTCATTTGTCCTAAGTCATACAACCATGAGTGGCAACCTAGGAGAACTGAGAATCCTCACTCCCATGTCCCTCTCCTCACACAGCCTGCAGTGTCCAGCCTGGCTGGACATACCCCAGCTACACTGTCAGCTAGGAGTGACATGCCATTCTCTTTCAGTGGACTCCCTGCCTCAATGACCTGATTGACACAAAAATGTCTCTTTCAAAGAAGACATATCACGAACACCTTTCTTCAGGGTACATCTTTTCTCTGGATCTAGAGGTTACACCTCAGATTTAGGTTTGGGCCTCAGAGCCCAGAACAGACCCAGGGAGCAGACCCACCCTGGCCAGCTGGTGCCAGCAACCAGAGTTAGCTAACCAGTGGCTTCCAAATTTCAAGGAGCACAATCCACAGTAACATCTAACACCACAGTCTACATACCTATCCAGCCCCCTATCTAGCTTTCATAAAATAATATTTGCCAGGCATGGTGGCATATGTGTGTAATCCCTGAAGCTCAGAAGGCTGAGGCAGGAGGATTGCTGGTTCAAAGCCAGCCTCAGCAACAGCAAGGTGCTAAACAACTCAGTGAGACCCTGTCTCTAAATAAAATACAAAAAAAAAAAAATAGGGCTGTGGGTGGGGTGGGTGGTTCAGTGGTGGAGTGTCCCTGAGTTCAATCCCTGGTACAAAAAATACATATAAATAAATATGTAAATCCTATTCTATTGCATGTTATAAAATGCTGGTCATCACCCACTCAAGTGACTTATCCATCTGCTAGTGGTTTTGCTATGTGCAAACTGAAGTATACTTGAGAAATAAGGGGATGAAATAGGGACACTTTCTCCAAATCCTCCCTCTTTCACACATAGGACAACTGACAGACAAGAGAAGGACCTATTTAAGGGGTTCAGGATTCAAGCAGAAAGAGGTGGCACCTGTACCCTCTGCAGAGGCAGGACACAAGGAGCTTCCCCGTGATGGTGCTCCTGCCTGCTCCCTGCTGCCATAGGCAGTCTTCTAGCACATGCTCCTAGGTGGCCTGTGGGATCAGGGTAGCCACAGCAGAACTGGGGCTTAATTCCCCATTGGCTCACTCACTCCCAAGGCCACCTCATCAAAATCCAGGGCTTACGACCTGTGGCACAAACAGCCTCTGCCTTTCCTAGAACAGTTAAAGGCACTGAGACCAGAAACTGGTTCATTCTGGAGGTCAGCGGTGACAGCACAAGGTTACTTTTAATTTCTTAAAAGTGCTTGCTGGGCAACATGCTGACCCTTGCCCTCCTTTCTTCATCGAAAAATAATCACAAACAGACCTTGTGAGGATCCCCCAAGGGAACCGCACTCCAGTCCCCGCCCGTGGTGATTAGAGCTCAGAATTGCCCATGGTTCTAGAGTGGGCTCTTTATCCGTGGATGACATTGGTGTCGCCCTCCTCACTCCACATGGCATCTGAGGCCTCCCGCACTAAAAGATAGACACACAACAACACGAGAATAGATAACCAGCACTGCAGAGAGAGGATTAGGCAGAAATACACCAAATCCCCATGGATTTGGTCACTGGGATGAGCCTCAATGGAGATAGGCACTTCCTGGGAGTCAAGAGAGAAAGGGATGTAGTGGTATCTCTACCCCAAATATGTCCTATGTATGCCTCCTAGGAAAGGGCCAAATCGATTTGGGGAAACACTGCACTCATCATCCTCTCATGGAGCTTCACGAGACTTCATAGCTTAATAAAGGCTATGAAAATCCCGCAGCACGATGCTGCTTGCCTTTGCTTCGCCCAGCATTTCCAAACTCATTCCAGGCATCAGAGCCTCTGTATGCATGACATCTCTCCATGTCCTGGATTTCCTGAGCACACTTTATGGGAAATGCTCATCTCATTTATGAAAAGATCCTTCCCTCTTTCCTTGCCCTAGGTCCTAGAAGGAGTTTAGCTTGTCAGTGCATCTGTGACAACCCCAAATATATATGTGATGCTCAATTATGGGCCAGATCAAATCGAGGCTCAGAGCAGCCCATTGGCCCAAGATCAGGCAGTGAGTTGGTGGCAAAGCTAGTGTCTAAACCCAGGCCCAGTGGCTGCATTGACCAAGCACGTGTCCTCACCCTCCTCACTGGGTACTATTTCATGATGGCCCAGGTCTTGAGCAGAGGTTTGGTAGAAGTTGTAGACCTCTCTTACAGTGGTCACTTCTTATTCACAATCGAGGTGAGAGGGTACGCTTGATCTAAACACACCATCCTGCCAAGATGGCAGATTCTGACAGAGCTGAGAAAAGATGTTCCCCCTCAGGCCCACTCACTCCCACTCTTAGGGTTATTTAATTCTTTCTACAGCCTCTGCCCAACCCCAACAGCCTCCTCACAACTCATCTCAGGAAG